CTTTCCCTAGAAGGGGGTGAAAATATTTCCTTCAGCCCCCATTGATGGTCTCCAGCCCCTACTACCCAGGTTTCATAGCAGGCAGCAGGGTCTGGAAGCATTAAGTGTGCAGATCTTTAGTTAACCCTGTTCTATGAAAGGCTGGGAACGAGGTTTTCCACATGAACAGCCATTTGTGTTGGGAACAAACCCCCCCCCCCCCCCAACCCAACAGAGCAAGGCTCCCAGATTCTTGCAACCAATTTATGTCTGCAATAAAAGTGTCCAAATCCTGGAGTATTTCAAGCTTTTTTGGATACCAAACAAACATAATCAGTATCTGGTTCACCTCAAGCTGGGTATGCCAACATTGCTCACAATTTGGCTCTTGACTGAGAATTATTTTGCATCTAACAAAGAAGGGTGGGAGGGGGAGGGGAAAGGCTGGAAAATTAGTGCATCTTAAAAGTAAAGGACACCTAGATTTCACTCAAAGAATGGGAAGAGCTATGGCAGCTCCTACATTCACAACTACTTGAAACACCAAGATGCATGCAACATGTCCCAATTCTTTTTTTTTTTTTTTTTTAATAAATTATTTTTTTGGAAGAGGAAGGTAGATCCTCACAATCTGGAGTTTGAGAAAATTTGCAATGAGATTTATTTTGCCCTTCTGAAAGAAGGGGGGAAAATGCTGCTGAGCAGTAATGAGAATGGGTCAGGGCTGAAGAAATCTCACTCAAGTCCCTCCTTAAATCAAAAGTCCCCAGTTAGTGCTAAGGTGAAGCAAAACATCTGAGAGGAAGGACTATAAACTGGAAACACCCAGCATTAAGCAGAAGGTCACTTAGGGTGCATGAAACAGTTGGAGGAACAGCCATGTAGCAAAATGCCAGTGGTCAAACATTGCCTTTTATAACCCGTCATTCACAAAAACAAGTGCATCTCCCTGAATGAGGTGTTAGTGATATTGTCTATTATATATTTTGTTGTTCCTGTACAGGTTGTGAGAGATGTCTTTGCTTCTAACTTGCTTTGCCTTGTTAATTTATCAGTTAGCAATTGAAGCACCTCTTCTTGTTTTGTTCAAGGATTGGGAAGGGGACTAGGACTTTGGTTTGTTTCATATCACTTCCCCTTTTACCTTCTTCTGTTGGCGCACGACTTTCATTTCAAGTTACTTGCGACTTTTTCTGTTGTAGGTGGGAAAAGTTAACCGGATGAGCATTGCAGCCTGGTGAATTCCAGCTACAGCTACATACAAATTGTGTAAAAGAATTGTTGCATGGCCACAGAGGTGGGAGTAGCCACTGCTGGCAAGAAGTAAGTTAAAATCTAATACTGGGAATAGAGATTTCCCAATGATGCAAGCATGTTGGTACTTGTGCTCTGTGTTGGGAGCTGTATAAATAGACAGGAAGGGCATGTGTGCCCAAAAGCTTCCAAGTAAAGAATTTTTTTTTGCAACTATCTAGTTGGCCTAATAAAGGATATCACCTCTACCAAGAGTTCCGATTGCTTTTGCCTTCAGACCAGCATGGCTACAGCCTGTATCCCAGGGTACA